GGGGGGGGCATCTGGCAGATGGTACAAGGGCAGGGTAAACCAGCCCAGTGCTGGAAACCGCTGCCCAGCTGCAAGGCAGGGGGGGTAGAGGGGGTCTTGAGGAGGGAATGGGGGGGTCGGATGGTACCGATGGCCGGCAGGGAGGCGGAGAGGGAAGAGGAGGTGTTGGCGGAGGACAAGGCACTGCCGAGGATGGGGTGCACCTGATGGACGGTCCCGGCGGTGGCGTGGGGCGGGTGGCCGGCGGAGTGTCCCACCGTGCCGCAGTGAAAGGCCGAGTGGTGACCCCCGTAGATTTCCCCCACCAGCCTCTTCATCTCCTCCAAGGAGCTGGTGAGCATCAGGATATAGTTTCTGGCTAGCAGGAGGGTGGCGATTTTGGAGAGTTTCCTGACGGAAGGTCCGTGGGCGTAGGGCATCACCTCCCGCAGCCCGTCCATGGCCAGGTTGAGGTCGTGCATCCTCTTACGTTCCCGCCCGTTGATCTTCAGCCTCAGCTGCTGCAGGTCCTGCTCCGAGAGCTGCTTCTTGATTTTGTACTTGCTGCCTTCTCCACCGGCCTTGGAACCGTTCCTGGAGAGGCCTTCCCCGGACATCTTCTGCACCAGGTCGTTTTGGGTGGAGGAGACGGAGTTGAGGCGGTTGTCTTGGTGGTGGTGGTGGTGGTGGTGATGGTGGTGGTCTCTCAGGTACATCTCATCCATGTCTGGCGAGGAAGCTCTGCTGGAGACAGAGCTGGAGTCAGAATTCATTGTATTCGGGCTTCTGAGCAAGAAACTCTTCCCTGCTCTGGAGGCGGCGGAACAAGACAAACCCCCCCCTCGAAAAAACAAGGCAAAAAAAGAAAAAGAAACAAAACGGATGGCAGGCTCTGCCGGCGAAGGGCTGGAAAATGCTGGAGGGAGAGGAAAAAAAGCCCCCTCTCTCCCCTCACTCTCTCTCTCTCTCCCCGGTTATTCAGCCCGTTTGGAGGATGGCTAGTTAGTGTGTGCTTGGACTAACCTCAGCCTGAAAAAGAGGGGCTTTTATAGAGCTGCGGCGGAGAGGAGAGACAAAAGGAGCCCTCCTATGTATAATGCTCTAGTTAGGATGACGTGCCATTATTCAGGGCGGTGCGCTTTGACTGTCCCATTTAGCAAGGACCCCTATTCATATTCATTGTGGTGCCACCCGGGACACCTCAGCCACGGACCATCAGGAGTCCGAGGGGGGG